AGTTATTTAGGCAGAAGGAATACAATTTCAAACAAAACTTGAACAAACTGAAAAAATAAAAACACCAGAAATGGAAAAAGTAAAGACAAAATAGAACTTACTTTTGTTAGTATTAATTGTCCTAAAAGACAGTCATCAAAAATGAAAATAAATCCAGCATATCATGTGTTTAGAATATGTAAAACATAAAATATAGCACAATGAAATAGAAGGAAAAATTGAAAATATTGTAAGTTCTTATGCTACATATGAAATGGTATATATTTGAAGGTAAATTCTGACTAAGGATACATATTGTAAACCCTAGGGAAACTACTAAAAGAATTCAAAGATATAAAGAAAAACTTCATTTGTAATGAAATAATTTAATAGAACTAATAATAGACAAAAGAACAAAAAACAGCTAAGATGACAAATTTTAATCCAAAATTATCAATAATCACAATAAGTATAAATCATCTAAATATTTAAAAGACAGTGATAGGGGCTGGGGAGATAGCTCGGCAGTCTAAGCTCCTGCCTGGCAAGCACAAGAACCTGGATTCCTTGGTGCTGCATTCTATGCTAGCCCCAAAACCCTGAGCATGGTAGAGCACACTTGTAATTCCAGAACCAGGGGGGCTGAGACAGGAGAATCACTAGGAGTGTGAGCTGCATACTGAGACCCTGTACCAAATCAATCAATCAATCTAATCCATAGTACTTCCCCACAATGAATGCAAAAATTAGCAAGCTGATTATAACAGCTTGGACCTTATGTCTCTCCAAAAGGCCCATATGCTGAAGGATTGAGCTTCAGTCTGTGGTCCTATTGTGATGTGGTGGAACCTTTGGGAGGTTGGGCCTAGAAGAAGGAAATTGGGGCATTGTGGACATCCCCTTAGGGGGCTCTGCAACCCACCAGCCCTTCCTAGCTCTCATTTTGAATAGGCATCCTCCACCAATGCTCCTGCTACCATAACATGCCGTGCCACCACACGCCCTAAGTACCTGGTCCCGGTGACCATGGCCTGAAACCTCTGAACTCATGAGTCAAAATAAATCATCATTCTTCTTAAGCTGATTTTCTCAGATATTTTATCATAGCAATAGAAAGCTGAGTGACACACTAATGTTCAAGCAGAAGCTAGACATACTGTCAAAGTATCTATATTTAGGAGCTGGAGAGATGGCTCAGTGGAATAAGTGCTGCCCTGGCAAGCGCAAGGGTCTGAGTTCAATCCCCGGTTCTGCAAAAAAAAAAAAAAAGGATCTATATTTATTAGTTAGAAAGGGAAATGTATTCCTCCACACTGGAAATGGCCAGCAGATGCCAATTTGGCCCAGGGACCAGTCTTAATATCCCTGTGAAAAGCCACATCAGGCCACGTTCCAGGAACCCCCAGACCCAGTCCTAGCCCAGGTCTGGTAAATGTGTGGGACAGCTTCCTGCTACCCTGCACCACTCGGACCAAATACCGGTACCAGCCCAGGCATGGTGTGGGCAGGACCATCTCCCACCCACTTGGGACTCCCCCCACCACTCTGCAGCACCTCCCCCACCCCGCCCGTCGAGTAGGAATTTCTGCCGCGTTCCGGGAACCCCCAGACCAAGTCCTAGCCCAGACCGAATGAGTGTGAGGGAGAGCTTTCTCTCCTCCCTACTCCACCTTGCCCCCTCCAGGTAGAGCTCAGGCCTGGCATACATGCCTGGAGTGTAACCCTGCAGCTGCAATCCCTGCAGAGAGTGTAGAAGATAGATCCTACCAGTTAGTCCAGGAGCAGAACATCTTGCCACAGGGGCACAAGAGGTTAACCCTCAAGGGAAGCAGCGGAAAGGAGCTGAGCACAGCAGCCAGACCCAAGACAGGCACAGCTGGATAAGTCCAAACTTTGTAGAGCTCCACCTGAACTTCAGTACGTGCGAAGGTTATAACTACAAAAAAGATCTACAACAAAGGTCAGAAGACAGTGCTACACAAAATGACAAGAAGGAACAAAATGCAAACTCAGAACCCAAGACCACCCGTAACAAGTGCAGAGGACACAAACACAAAACAAATTGGAAATCACACAGCTGAAAGCAATGAATCAACAGCTTCGGAAAGAAAGAAACAGCAGCAGAAAGGTATAGAGGACCTCAGATTAGAAATAAAAAAAGAAATCCCTGAATTAATAACATCTGCACTAAAGAATCAAATGCAGAAACACACGGAGGAAACCCAGTGCCCTCCCAGAACAAGTGCGGAGGACACCAGCTCAGCTCAAATGCATGAATTAATAGTGTCGATAGTAAATAAGCAACAACAAAAAGATATACAGGAAATCAGAGCGTAATTCTTTTCTGAAATAAAAAAAGAACTCTCAGAACTCATAGCATCTGAAGTAAAGAAGCAACTACAGAAACATAAGCAGGAAACCCAACCTGAAAAAAACATTGCAGTAAAAGAATTTATAACTGCTTATAAAGAAGATATTGATAAAAAAAATAGAGGAGATTAGAAAAATGACAGATTCC